AGTACAATTTCAGTTAAACTATACAATTTCAGTTAAACTGTACAATATCCAATAACTTTTAAACATTATAATTTTACCACATCCTGAATTGAATTGGGTCTACAATACAATATGATAAAACACATGTTGAAAATAATCAATACTACAAGGCTCGGAGAATGAAAATACTGAGTGTTAAATAAATTTATGCCACTATTAACTTTCATGTGCAGTGTTTTTATTTTCAGTCATCTTATTTGTCACCTTGTACTTGAAGTATGTGATGTATATGTTTTTGAATATGTTACATTGCATCTATTTACTTATCCTTGCAGACTATGGCTGCATCCAAGAGAAATGCAGGAGTCCCTTCTGTTGCCATGGTAGCGAGACAGTCACTCAATGATGAAGAACTGGTATGTTGCCCTTGTTTATTTTGACCTTGATGATCTTGATACTGATATTTTTGATTGGTTAAAGATGACAGATTCTTGCTCAAATAATATGTGAACCTCTCAAGCCCTTGACATTTTCAAATATATATATGATACGAGGGTTGTCTCATAAGTCCTGAAATATCTATTCTAATTCAAGAAGTATTTCATGAATCTGGCTAAATTCTGGTACTGGTAAAGTGGAACACCTCTGTTAGTGGAACACTTCAGAGACCCAAGACCAATGACTTAATGATAAGTGGACCTCTCTAAGTGGAACTCCCAAGTGAAATACTTTTAGAGGTACCAAATGTGTTCCACTTAGCTGGGTTCTACTGTATATATCAAGATCAATCAATTATCTCCAACATGTGATGATTAACTCAGTATAAAGTAATTGTTTGGGAGGAATCTGTATTACTTAAGTTTAAAGTTTAAAAATAGTTTATTTAAGTCACACACATATAATACAAATAAAATACATAAGATAAAATACAAATCAACAAATATGTCCAGCCGTTGCCGACTTATGAGTGACTACTAGTGATTACTAGTGGTATGACTTGCACTCAAAACCCAACTTGAATCAGAACTCAATCACCGGGGAACTTTTGAATCATGTAATTTACAAGTTGATGGAGAAATTCCTGAAAATATTTTCGAATGCACTATTTCCATAGATTGAAAAAAAACTAGAAAAAACAAACATGAATAAAAAATAAGATCATTGCAGTTCTGTATTTTATTTGTTCTTACCTTGTGGAATTAGTATGAAAGACATTCATCAATGATGTTGTTTTATTCCAGAAAGCACATGTATATAAGAAAACCTTACAAGCTTTAATCTACCCGATCTCAAGTACCACACCCCATAACTTTGTAATCTGGTCTGCCACTTCTCCTACATACTGCTTTGAATGTGAAGGCCTCCTGTGGGGCCTGGCCAGACAGGGGGTGAGGTGTACAGAATGTGGGGTCAAGTGCCACGAGAAATGTAAAGATCTTCTAAATGCAGACTGCCTACAAAGTAAGTGAAATATGGCTTCTGTGTTACTACTTGGCTTTATGTTGTTCATTCCATGGGGGTCATTAGCAGAAACTTATGAAAGTTACGAATTTGTAAATCAATTGTAGTAACCATGGTTATAACGACGCCACAGTTAGAAAACAATGGACTTTACGAATTCTTAACTACAAGTTTCTGTGAATGGCCCCATGGTTATCTCCATCATGAAAACCATACTATACCAACAAAATACAGCAGCTGAGCTACTTCTCCATTCTTAATTATGTTGTTTTTCAAATCAAAAGAAGGAATGAAGATCATACCATATAGAATTGATGTGTTTTAATCTTTATATTTAACTTGTCATAAATTGTGAAGATCACTTATTTATCCTTGAATTATCTTTTGCAAGTTATGAGAGTGGTCATTCAAAAGGCAGACAAGATGTCATTAAAAGAGTTTGACATGAATGAAGCGGGTATATACATATTTGATCTCATATACACAGCATGCTAATGTCACAACTAATATCACTTGTTTGAACATACATATGTCATGTACTGGGTGTCTGACTATCCCCATCCCTTTATGAAAGTTGCCTATATGTTAATCAAATGATAAAGAATAATATAACCTGATACATCAACAACAACTTTAATTTTTGATGGAATGTTTAGTTTAAGATTTGCTGAATATATACTTATTTTGTTCTTCACTTGGTCATAAGACAAGATTATTCTTTTTGAAATGACCTCCTAAGATAAGTTTGTTTCTGCTATTTTTTGAAGAACACAACCAATTGATTGCAACATGAGCCTATTAGGGTCACAGGAAAACCAGCTTTATCACAATTTCTGATTTTTGAATAATATTAGATTACTTTCAACATGGGCTTCTATTGAATGCCCATGCTTTCAATGAAATGCTATTGTCATACCAAAATACCAAGAATTTAGAATGCCAAAGCTAAATCATATTTGTTTATTATTTTTAAATATATCAGAATATTTATTTCATACTTGAGGGTAATTCATTCAACACTTTCAAGGCTCAATCATCTAGCCAAATATAGTTATAAATACATGTATAAATAAAAAAAATGATGAGGAAAAATAATCAAATGTAAATATCCTGTGATAAGGTTTGAGCTATGTTTGCAAAGTAATTGAAGAAATATTCAATAAGAGGGACTTGAGTGATATATAACTGGGACACTGTTTTTCCTGTGACCCAGCTCAAAATGCCAATGTAGCGTGTTATAACTATGTAAGTTTTACAAATATCTGACTGTTACTTTAAACATTTCATTCTCTTCTTGGCACAAACCTCAGTTACTTCCATTAAATTATGTTTCATTTCTTTTTGCTCAGATTGTATAAAGAGTAAGTTTGTACATTCTCACATATTATAAATAGGTTTGACATGTGCTAGAAGGTGGAGGGTATATACCAGTAGTGTGATATGGTAACTTGTGATATGATACCATGGTAGGGGATATGGGTAACAGTGTAGGGCATCTTTACACCATGGTTGGCCATCTTTGTTGTGTTTTTGTGCTCCTCAACCATATTTCAATACATGCAATGGAATTATGATAACCCACCTTCTCCATCTCTGGAAATCTACACAACATCTGCAATGCACAGAGAGAGAGTCATTGGGCCTCTAGGTTGACCCATTTTTGCACTGATATAGCTACCCAGAATAAATATACTAAGAAGCCTGCTTAGATAACAGGCTTAGATAATTGTATGTGTTAAATTTCATTGGATATTTTGCTTTTAATACCAATCATATAGTTCTTTTGTAAAAAAGTGATAGTATCTTTTCATGTTGCTTAAATCAAATCTTTTTTGTCATTTTATCGTGTACATGTAATATAAAAGTCAGCTCTGAAAGAATAACAACAGAAACTATAATAGAGATATGGCATAATAATATATAAATTTGTAACATTTGAGGGTTGTTTGTTTGCAACATACATGTACTTGCACAAATTGGTTTAGGGTATAGGGATCATTTTTGTGACACACACAGTTGATAACATCAAGCTTTTTGCATAACATGTTAAATGTGTCTAAATGTCTGAATAATTCTATATAATAATATTTACATTTTGATGAAGTTAATACTTTAATATGCTATCATCTTTAATTGTCTGTATAAATCCTGCTTTCTTCTTAGCAAAGCTAATATATTTTAAAAACATATAATTCTTATGACATAGTATTACAAAAAAATCATATATTTTTCCAACATATGACAAATAGAAGTTGTATACAATTTGTATTGTTCAAATTTTTCATTTGGTTTTGTAAGGTCATTTTTAAAATAGTATATAGTAAAAGACTTGATCTTAATCAGTTATAATTCTGTATGACTGTAGAATAAATGGGAGTACTGTTCTCTCTTGGATTTATTTATTTCCTCTGTTTTAGGGGCAGCGGAGAAGAGCTCAAAACATGGGGCCGAAGATAAAACTCAAAGCATTATATCATCTATGAAAAACAGAATGAAAATAAGGGAGAGAAATAAACCAGAAATCTTTGAATTGATAAGGTATGTCTCCACACCATATATGCAGGTATTGTTGTATGATGTAAATGCGCTTTTTCAACATTTATTCAAATAGTAACAGCTTGCTTGTTAATAAAGTTTCAGCATTTTATAAACTTTTACACGTATATAGATTTATTTGTAAATTTTTTTCTGCTTAAATAGTGTAACAATAAAATATAACATTTCCATTGCCATCATTTCCATTGTTGCACATAGATAATTAACATGCAGTTTTGGTTTCAAGTGTTTCATTTTCATGAACTCTTGTGTGATTTTTGTTTTAACATTTTTATTTGAAGTTCTTTTTGTTTATACAGTATGTAGAATATTTGTGTCCTTGATAAAAAGTCTTATATAAATGTCCAGCTGTTCACTGATTTCTCTTTGTGTTAGTTTCACACTCTTGTGGTAGCTTTATGATGGTTTCTTATGTTTTAACAATTAACATTTTTACTTTCAAAAGGTGAAATTTTCTATACTTTTTATTGTTTTACTTCCCAAAATTGTTCTTTAAATGTTTTTATCTTATTAGCTATTACGTAACACTTGATCAATGGTCAAAATGTTTTACTGTTTTTGACTGGTTGTCGTTTTGATTTTTTAATCTGTTTCATTCTAAAAAACAGTTACTAAGCTGTTACTTTAATATAAGACCATATTTTTGATAAAACTTTGTTGAAACACAAGACTGTTTATCAAATAACCAAAACTATATTTCATTTTATTTATTTTGACTATTGATATTTCAGTAGTGGTAGATATTTGTTACGTTAATAACATAGAAATGTGGAGTAGAGTTGATCCCATAATGAATATACATGTGGATGAACACCAATTTTGCACCCTGGGATTGCTCAAAAACTTTTTCTTTGTGCTGGATAGTATTCGCGTAACTATAGTAACTAGACTAATCTTTTACTAATCTCATGTTCTATTTTCCCAATGCACTCACAGTCAAGTGTTTAGTGTGGATAAGAAGATACACAGTGGACATATGAAGGCTATTAAACAAAGCGTCCTGGATGGAACATCCAAATGGTCAGCTAAATTAGCAATTACTGGTGAGTAGGAGGAGCATTTTTGTTTGTACAAGGACTCCTGTTTACTGTTTGTATCCCTTTATATAACATTTCTCTCATATATTGTTGAAATTTCATGAATCTTACTAAAAGCCTCTACTGATTTGGAATGTCTTTTAATTCTAAAATTCTAGAACATTTTTTAGGTTGATTCTTAATGATTGATGTCAGCAGGCTCACAAGACCAGTTTGCAGAAATTAACATTTAACCCCTTACTTGTATTCATTTGAGATCACAAGACCAGTTTGGAGAAATTAACATTTAACCCCTTACTTGTATTCATTTGAGATCACAAGACCAGTTTGGAGAAATTAACATTGAACCCTTTACTTATTCATTTGAGATCACAAGACCAGTTTGGAGAAATTAACATTGAACCCTTTACTTGTATTCATTTGAGATCACAAGACCAGTTTGGAGAAATTAACATTGAACCCTTTACTTGTATTCATTTGAGATCACAAGACCAGTTTGGAGAAATTAACATTGAACCCTTTACTTGTATTCATTTGAGATCACAAGACCAGTTTGGAGAAATTAACATTGAACCCTTTACTTGTATTCATTTGAGATCACAAGACCAGTTTGGAGAAATTAACATTGAACCCTTTACTTATTCATTTGAGATCACAAGACCAGTTTGAAGATATTAACATTGAACCCTTTACTTGTATTCATTTGAGATCACAAGACCAGTTTGGAGAAATTAACATTGAACCCTTTACTTGTATTCATTTGAGATCACAAGACCAGTTTGGAGAAATTAACATTGAACCCTTTACTTGTATTCATTTGAGATCACAAGACCAGTTTGGAGAAATTAACATTGAACCCTTTACTTGTATTCATTTGAGATCACAAGACCAGTTTGGAGAAATTAACATTGAACCCTTTACTTGTATTCATTTGAGATCACAAGACCAGTTTGGAGAAATTAACATTGAACCCTTTACTTATTCATTTGAGATCACAAGACCAGTTTGGAGAAATTAACATTGAACCCTTTACTTGTATTCATTTGAGATCACAAGACCAGTTTGGAGAAATTAACATTGAACCCTTTACTTGTATTCATTTGAGATTTGGTCCAAAGTGCGATGAATATTTAGAAATGTTAAGGTGGATGTGGTTAGATTATTATGATAGTCCACACATAATATGTCCACTTTTATCAACCAAATTATTAATCTTATTTGGAATACCTTACCCAATTCTTGCTAGCTTTATATGAAAATTGGTTTCTAGGGTTTAAACAGTTTAAACACTATATTTACATTGTTCATTGTCAGTATGACCTCATCGAACTCTCTTGAAGTGCAGTGATCATAGGTACAAGGATAATGAATTGTTATGATGTTGTTTATGTTGCATTTGGCAGAGACAGATAAATGAATACACCAATGTTTAAGTGATAAATCAATAGCCGCCTCCATCATTTCATAGTCTGTAACATGTTGACCTGCCTATCATTTGAAGCCTTTATGTTCTGGCTATTAAGGTTGTAAATATCATAAAAGAACAATGTGTTATTCTCAAGCAATTAGTTCAAAATTAATATATTGATGTATCTAACACATTCACATTCTGTCATCCTCAAAGGAAGGGTTCTTATCTTCATTTATGTATTGTTATCTTCAAAGGTGTGTTGTCAACTTCAAAAGAAGGATAAGTGTACTGTTTATTTCAAAGTACTCACCAAAGATTAATATATGAAGTAGAAATTGGATGCTGTCTGATATTCGACTGATCAATGATTTTTTCTGGCTCATTTTCTGTGCCCAATCCCTTTACTTTATTGATAAACTATTCAGGAATTGAGGGTTCTACAGCCTCTTCTCTGTCAGGGAGAGAGCAGATAGATTTAGATAGAGGGACTCTAAAAGTTAAGATCCTATTCAGGGAGCTTTGTTAGGTCACACTCATGATAGGTCACACTAATGCCACGCAAAATGTTAAGATTAATGAGGGTTCAAGGTGTTAGCTTGAAAATTAGTTATTAAGTGAAGCAACAGTCTTCTTGCTAATATATCTCATTCTTGAATGCTTTATTAATTATTGTACAAAAATATGATGATTTCATCTTCCTTGTTCAAAAGTAGAGAGATCTGCTTGAATAATGCATTCTTCAATAACTTCTGGACAATAAATTGTAAGTCTCCTTTTCACAGTTCGCTCTTTTATCGAGAAGGTACGAAAATATGTACTTAAAAAGCCCCCCAAAAGGACAAAATTTGATTGGTCAATATTTTCCTACGCTGCATTTCGCGTAGCTATTTGCGTGACCCGATGTTGCAGTTTGTAGTGCGGGAATGAAATTATTTTTTTCCAATATGGCAACTAGTCAACTGATCACATGACCTTCTCTACTGGAATATATCCTCTCTTTTGACACATTGTTTTTACAACATTGTGAACCTATACAATGATAGAAATATCTGCTTTATAAAGTTTAGTAAAAGATCATTCGTTTATGATACTTTTTTTTCGTCCAATCAGATGGAGATTTGATTGAAAATAGTTATGAAATCCACATGCTAAACCAATGAAGGAAAAACAAGGAAGTAAGAATTTGTTCCCCGCGAATTGCATCATGGGTAATATTTTGTCCAAATAAGGAAAGACTTTCGTGTCTCCTCGTTTGAAGAGCAAATTGCGAAAGGGAGAATTTATTCATTACGTATTTACTTTAATTTAATCCATGGGCTTTCTCTTAATCTTACAAGATATGTTGAAGGGGTCCTTTATTTGTCGTCCATCTCTGTTCTTTATTCCTTATCAATCTCTACTTTTCATCTGTCTCTCACTCAATATTTTATTTTTCTCTGGTTTTCATCCTCTCCCCACCAAGATTTCTATACATACTTGTACATAATCTCTCTGATTTACATGTTTGCAGCGCTATTTTCTACATTTCCTCCGCTGACAGTAAAGAAACCATGCACCAAATTCCAAGCAGTGTTTTTAAGGATCATATTCAGTATATCCGCATCGTCAAAATCAAAGGTAGCCTACATGGGCAGCATGGCATTCTTGGAATAACAGATCTCCTTTAATAACAGGGAATCAGGGAATGTGGTTTAATGTATAATCTGGTTTCTGGATGTAATCAGGCGCTAATAACAATTTTCATTCTTTTAGGTTTTGGAGTACTCAATATGACGTTATTGAGTCTGTCTACTTAACACCCCTGCCCTACCCTCCACCAGATTAATACATGGGTACCTTAGTTTTAGCTAGAGAGATGCATAGCATGCCCTCCCCATAATATAATGAGATAAATATTGCGAATGAGAGGCGAGTACACCATGTATATTTTGTGGAGGGTACCATGTCAAATGGTACAAAGCGATATTTTTCTGGTCACTCTGTAATATAGGCTTGAAGATGTCAATGAACAATTGTGCTGTGTAATCTAAACATATATACAGTAAGGTTTCCATTGTTAAATGTATTGAACAATGCTATTTGTGGTAGGCTTCTGTGAACAAAGTAAAAAACAATAGAATTATTCATGAGGACCTATGTTGATTATAATTTATCTAATATATAACTCCCAGACCAGTCTTGTCCACAGCTTCAAGAGTAACTTACATTATTTTGGTCATATTTTGAACTGTGCACAAAGCTGAGTCTGGTTCACACAACCATAGACTGAAAATGTACCGAAGTAATACAAAATATTAATATTCATTACAATGTTTACTAGTTAATTTTGTGTATTTAATCAGAGGTGGTGGTTGTCATGGTAACCATTAATAAATGACACAATTAATTGCTTGCTTATGACTACATAAAGAATCCATTAATTCATGAATTTGTAAATAAATTGATAAATATAGATTCTAAATATAAGATTTTTTGTAATGTTTATATTATTCTATTAATGTATGTCAAAATAATTTCTGTATATCTTATTTATCATTAGTATTATATGTATAATGCAGATGCTTGTAGAATTGCATGAATGCATCATATTTTAATAGCAGTAGGAGTTGTTGCATAATTATCAACAATTTGTGTGTACAGGAAATCAATTTTTAATGTATTGTCTCCCCATTGTTTTCAGTTATTTGTGCTCAGGGTCTAACTGCCAAAGATAAAACAGGGACTAGTGACCCATATGTTACCATCCAAGTGGGAAAGGTGAAAAAACGGACAGAAACGGTTCCAGAATCCCTAAATCCTGTCTGGAATAAGTTATTTTATTTGTGAGTTTCAGCAATTTTTGACATGTGATATATATCACGTGACATGTTGTAGGGAGGGTGCCCGACTGATGGCAAAGCATGTGTAGTTAATTGCGACATGTTTGTTATTTACATGTATCATTTTTGATCTTCTAATATCAAACTATTTTTATGGATATGACTTAAATGCAGTTCAGGTATTTACAGAGAGATCTGCTTTGCTTAAGATTAATTCCTATGTTTCAAGTAACTTTGACTGATGAAGGTATTTTATTTAAAAACCTGATTTACACCTACAAGATAGATCAGAAATGAAATGTGTATACAGGGTGTCTCAAAAAAGGAACCAGGATTTAATTGCTTATTTACCAAATATGAATAATAATTGGAAAATTTCACAGTTAAGGAATTTAAGTGACCATGCCAGAAATGGGTTTGTGCCACTTTTTCTTACATGAATGACTCAACAATGAGAGATTAAAATGGCTATGATGGTTATTAGGGGTTATCTCAAGGATAAAGTCTACACAACATCACCAAGAGACATTGATGATCTAAGGACCAGGATTGTTGCAGCAGTGAAGGATCTAAGGGGACAGAGAGACATCATCAGGGATGCAGTTTGGCGATGAGATCTAGGGAAGACATTTGCATTGAAAGGAATATGAGTGATGTTGAAGGACACTTGGGTTAAATCATTGGGATTCAAAAGGGGTGTTAAATATGATATGAGTAACTTGAATTGGAATGAATGAGTAATATCCCGATGTTTGTTGCTACTTATCACTATGTTATGATGGTGAAATTTACTTGGCTGAAAGTGGCACAAACCCATTTCTGACATGGTCACTTAAATCTCGCATTGCTAAATCATCTGTGGAGGAAAATAGAACATTTTGGTATCATAGGGAAGAGGACTTAATGATGCAAATGATGGTACCTGCGAATTTTCCATAATATTATTAATCTTTGAGAAATTAGCAATTTAATCTGAATTTCCTTTTTTGAGACACCCTGTATAATGTCAAAGTAAAACTGCACATTTATATGGCATGTGGAACAATAGTTTTGTTTGTAAATTTTCTTAGAAAGATATCCCTCCCATATAATATCAACAAAATTGCACATCATGGCACAATTATTCACAAATTCAAACACATGTATTTACATGGTTGATTAAAGAATTGTCCATTTTTCTATTTATTCCAAAATCACTACTTTTAATTGATCATGTATATAATTTATGTGCAGTTTCATTTTTGTTTGTACGCTTATGTTCTCTTGTCATCCTATTCAGTAGCTATGTGACGTAAAACACCAATATGAATCACATTGCAGTGACTTATGTTTCTGTGTTTGTATTGACAGGTTTTACTGTGTGTTTCATATTATGTACTACTGTCCCATAGGAAAGACACCAATATAGTAAATAGTAAATAGAAACATTAGATAAGGTCCCTCTTTATAGCATTTAAACTGAATAGGAATGATAAGATACTTAGTTAATGTGATGCGCTTTACTTTCATTTCATAGACAGTAGTAACAAGTCATAGTGTAGCTCACGCATGTATGTATAGGTGGCGCAGCTAATGCAACTCGTTGATTCTCGGCTATTTCAGTCATATGTGCGCAGGGTCTGATTGGTAAAGACAAAACAGGGACAAGTGACCCCTATGTCACTGTTCAGGTTGGGAAAACTAAGAAACGAACCAAGACCGTTGCCCAAGATCTTAACCCTATTTGGAACGAAAAGTTCTACTTGTGAGTTGATTCATGTTTCGTTTATGTTTCATTTTGTATCTTAATTCAATATGGTGATATGTTTTCTACTAAAACTAACTGGTAACTGATTTGATATATGGTATCATGATTTCATATATTTTCGGTTGATTTGGTTTCTATTTTAAATCGTAGAAGTGAATAAATGGAGTTATTTTATAGGTTATAATGTGTTATAATAGTTTTTAACAAATATAATTATTAATACTCATTTGATTGTTTGATTTTTATTCTGAAAAAATTATTTGAAGGTTTTTGTGAGGTGTTTTTGTGAGACTTCAAGAAACTCATTGTCCAAAATCTGATCCTTATTTTTTCATATAAAAGGTATGGCAAACATGAATCCTGTTACATTTTATTTTACATGTCTTGTATACAGATTTAAGACATCTTAGACTATTAGATTGAGATTGCTTCACACAATTATTGCAGATTGCCACTTTATTTCTGTTTGTTATATACTAGTGTCACTTTATAACTTTGATGAATGTGGTTCATTTGCAAAATATATCCTTGCATTAAGCCTCTTCTTCCCCAATTAGAATTATGAACTCTTTTTTGAAAGAAATGGTTAAAGAAGGGAGAGGGTTAATGGCACAAGGGACAATGTAGAAATGCACTAAAATTCATAAACTTAAACTTGCTCTGAAACTTTTTGACATTAACAATTTATATTGATTTCATATTAATTGTTTATCACAGCAAATGCTTAGCTACACAATGCGAAAATCATAAACACCACGTAAATATGAAAAAGACGTTAGATAAATTATAAATGAAATGTGTATAAAATCATTCAATATTGATTTTAATATGTCTTTGGCAAATTAGTTCAATTGAGACAGTTCTATAATAATCTGCAGGGGCTTAGATACATGTATATGTCTACTAATCCTACTTCATAGTAATTCTAGAGGGTTCTAGAAAGTAAATAATCGGCATGGCGGTTATCAGATTCGCTGACTGTAGAGTTCAAGGCCTAAACCATGAGATGGAAGGTGTGAGGGGCACAGCTGTAATTCTGACCCTAAATCACTCTACATTTATGTTTTTAATGTATGATGATCTGTAAACGTGTAACATCAACTTCCTTTTCGGAAAATATCAATGTTTGAAAAAATTGCTTGTACCTTTTTTTATTTAGTTTTAAGAGGCATTTAATTCACTTAGAATGTGAGTAATATTTTCAAACTTTGATATTTACAGATCATGTTGCAAGGTTGGCATCATTATGAAGTAAAAACATATTTGGTTGATTTTGGGTCAGATTTACTGAGACTGCCCCTTTAAGGTCTGCAGCTATGCAGTTAGAAGATCTGGCAGTTATAGCGTAGTTATTAATGTTTGTCACTAACACGGCGACCATTTTAAGTTTGCATGACATCTTTACTGGTTGTTATAAATAAATAAACAAGAATGATACTGTGTTGTATAATTATAAAAACTTATAAATAAGATCATCATGGTTAATCATTTAAAAATCACATACATGTATTTAAATTGTCAATATTTCTTTATTTGGAAATCTAATAATTTTGATAAACTGTCAAATGGATCAAATTGTATTCACGAGAACATAAAATATCCATGTCATATCTTTTATTGAATATTCAAATTTGAACACCAAGGTATCTGGCGATGTCTGTTATTACTGTAAGATATGAAACTAAAAAATCTCATTTTATGTAATCATACCTTGTATAATTAATTGATACTACTGGTACATGTATATATTTACATGTTATTCAGGTTTCCTGAATGGATTAATGCATTCACCAGTTACTGGTAATTTTCCAAGTTTGAATGACTGGAATATGAATGTTTTTTTTCCTTTACAGTGAGTGCCACAATTCCTCTGATAGGATCAAAGTCAGAGTTTGGTAAGTAATAACAACTACAAAGTCATGGTTAGTGGTGCTGTTAAATTTGGAATTCTTTATGCATAATGCCAATATGCAAGTACATGTATATAAGTTTAAGCAAAACTTGGTCTGCCTTAAATAAAACAATATTCAATGATCATGATTACATACTTTGTGTTTACTTACAGTATGTTTCATATTCCATACAGTTTTAAAATAGTCTAATAGATGTTATACTCAGTGCTTTTATTAACATTCTGTAGGTAACTTCCTTTAAAGGAGAGTTAATATTTTGGATTTCTTGCCAATGTGTAGGTTTAATATCATTATTGTTGTGTATGTAATTTATGAGATATGTTTACAGGGACGAAGATAATGATTTTAAGTCAAAAGTTATGCAAAAATTAACTAGAGAGTCAGATGACTTTCTTGGCCAAACTATCATAGAAGTACGGACACTAAGTGGTGAAATGGATGTCTGGTATAATTTAGGTGGGTCTTCTCAAACATCCACTGTGTGAATACCACATGAAACCTATATGTGGTGACTCCTAGCACATCTGTGTGGTGTATCAATTAGTATCTCTATGTGGTGACTCATGTCTATTGAATGTATCACAGTTTCAGTTTGAAGTTTTAAGCTACAGTTATTAAATTCTAGGTTATGCATTATTCTTGTGATAGATGAGGAATGAGTCTTTTCATATCAATTTTTTTATTTGCTTGTCTTATCATATTGTTTTCATTTGTAACAATCTCCATCTTCAATACATTATTTTATGACTTCTTAAAGGTTCCATAAATCTCACTTGAAATCTGACTATAGTATTAGATTAGTGAAAATACCTCACAATTTTTGAAACAAGCACAAATGTTTAAATAACTGAGACTGTGATGCCACATTCAATGAATGAGTTAGTCCTCAAGTTGTTCATTTATTCTCCCAATGCAAAGGTTACACTTCTTTCATTACTTCTGTGCTTAGCAGAAATTGTTCTGTCATGTTTAATATCAAAATTTATTATCTCCTTTTGGAGCTCTGTTTTATTAAAAGTTGCATATTAAAAATTGCATAAGCCATCCGCAGAGATGATTTAGAACAAGATCAATGCATTAGGAGAATTTTGTTCATGATGTATATTAGATTCTGTTGGTTCATGTGTTGGCTGATAGGTGGAGTCGTGTACCCCAGCAGGTGGCAGTGCTGTAGTTATGATGTTGTCATGGTGATGACATCACAGTGGTTGTGCCTTTGTATAGTATGCATCTATGTCTGTTTGCCCTTGTCACCTTGACCCTTGACCTCTAAATGTCAACTTGACCTTGTAGGGATGAAGATGATGACCTCAAAGCAAAGTTAAGGTCTAAATTGACCCGAGAATCTGACGATTTTCTTGGGCAAACAATTATCGAAGTGCGAACTTTGAGTGGGGAAATGGATGTATGGTACAATCTAGGTCAGTCAAAAACAATGAACGATATCAGTAAATAATGTTGTAACATTTTCTTATTTTTATTATTATTTTATAATAGAACTTTTGTCGATTTTCCTATATATTCCCCACATTTTGTTTTGGTGGCTATAGCTGAAACTAGCTTTACAGCTTGGCTGTTGTGCTTTTAACAATCAAGATTATATCATTAAATCATCTTAAACTATCTTGCCTAATAACAACTCATTTTCTTCATTGCCATCTAACATTTGAACACACCTTTTTGAAACATTTTCATAAATAAGCTTGTTTCATCTAGAAAGCCTGTACTATTAATGTTACTTCAGATACTTTTGATATATTTTCATTAACTAAGGTACACCCTTCTGCCCCTACCCTTTTCTCCTGCTGTGGTAGAAAGGCTTCTTACCTTGCATGTTGTGGCATAGTGTTGTTTGAAATCTTATGGAGTAGTTTCCCCTGTTTGTAACAATGAACAAATAACAGTGTCAGAACACACAGCTCAAATCCTACTAATCATTAAAAAGATTAACTTGTTTTCATGACTTGGCCCATACCAAATAAAGACAGGTTTATACTCTGTATGATCTCATTTATTTGTATTGTAAATATGCTGTTAATGCTTAATACATGTACAGTAGATCACAGTGCATGCATGTTCTTATAAACCAGTCAAAAAATAGGTTCTTTTAACAATGTGACAACATTTTGTAATATTTTTTTATCTTTAGAAAATGACACATCCAAATATTTGCAGGCCCGTAGCCAAAAATTCTTTCAAAATCATGCAGTTTTTCCCTATTCTGAGTACTTTTCAAGTGCTTTTGGCCATTTTTTGGGCCAAAGTTGTCAAAAGTGAACTCCCCTAGAATTTATTTACTTCTCCATGTAATTTAAAATGAATTCCTGTTTGCTCTAATCTCTACAGAAGCAAATTTGGGTCTAAGTACTTTATATTAAAAAAATTATGTTAATTGTTTGTTGAAACAACAGATTCCCATGATCTAGTGGCCCATTTTATGACTTCATAAGTTTCTTGTGGATGTTATATTATGAGCACATTGAATGTATATGATATTTCTTGATGTGTATGTTAGAGGGTTGTATATTGCAGAGAAGAGAACTGATAAATCTGCAGTATCTGGTGCTATTAGACTACATATTAGTGTAGAGATCAAGGGAGAGGAGAAAGTTGCACCTTACCATGTACAATACACCTGTCTACACGAGGTATGCATACCCTTTCAGTTATTCATGTGTTCAGTGTTCATCCTCATGTTCTTTCAGGTTGGGAAGAAACCTCCCTTCCTTGAAAGTTAGGCAAAATAAGGTTATAAAATGTCTTAAATCTTTTAAATATGGTGTCCCAAATAGGAAAATGAACACTTAAACATAGGTACATGTTTATGTTAGACGACACGGGAGGTTAAATTACTTCATCATGATTTATGAAGCATTCTGACAAAAAGCTACAAAGGATTTTGTGCCTGTATAACACCTCAAAAATCCTTTGTAATGAAGTATTTTTCAGAAAGGCTTCATAACAAAACAATTAAACCTGTAGTAGAACTCTAACCATTGAAATCTAGATATGATATTATATTAATAATTGTTTATGGTGTGTTTAGCACACACTTGGGATCAGCTTTTAATAAGATTGGCAAAAAGTACATCAACAGAACACAAAATAAAAATGTCATTGCATTGTGATTGATTTTTCTTGCAGAACCTATTCCATTATCTGTGTGAGCAGGCTGGTGGTCAGGTGAAACTACCAGAGGTCTCTGGGGTAAGTGTGCTGCCAGCTCAAAGGAGTACTATCGCCACATTTTGTATTATTTATTTTAGTATATCATTTATTATTATACAGAACACTAATGATTAAATACAACACTGAATTAAGATTATGGCCTAAAGAGGTTCTCTATAGTTATTTGTTAATAAAGACATCTATTTCTGATTATTCTCAAGAGAGCAGCAGCTATTCTTAATTGATAAAGTATAGAATACTAACTTCTATTGACTTAGTTGAAATCATTTGGAAAGACCAGTGCTGGCTTTAGAAACCCAGCTATGACCTTTGGTTTAATATAAGCCATATATTCCACAAATTATTGATTTCTGCCTTTTTAAAATACCCAAGTAATCATTTCCAGGATGAGGCTTGGAAAACATATTTTGATGACCCTGCTCAAGAAATCGTTGATGAGTTTGCTATGAGATATGGAATCGAATCTATATACCAAGCTATGACGTAAGTAGCACTGTACAATTAGAGTGTAATGAGCATTAAGAATATGACATAAATCATAGGAATATGTGATTATTAATTGTGTCTATTTGAAAATCCACATAGTTTGTAGCCTATCCTTATTTCACTGCAAATTGTGGCTTGTACTACATTATTGCAAAGCTGCAACATATGTATGAGTGTGTCATACAGATATTTCTCTTAATGAAAAAAAGATTATATGTAAAAAGTTGTCCATCTTTCTTACATTTCATAATCCTGGATATGTATTTCCATTTCAGTCATTTCTCATGTTTATCAGCCAAGTACATGTGCCCAGGTGTGCCAGCTGTAATGTCTACCTTACTCGCCAATATCAATGCCTTCTATGCACATACAACCACCTCCACCGCTGTCTCTGCATGCGACAGGTTCGCAGCCTCCAACTTTGGCAAGGAGAAGTTCATCAAGCTGCTGGATCAGCTGCACAACTCACTGAGAATAGACCTGTCTGTCTATAGGAATACATATCCCGCCTCCGACCCCGCTCGTCTCAAGGATTTGAAATCTACTGTCGATTTACTTACCAGTATTACATTCTTCAGAATGAAGGTGAGTGTGAACCAGTGAATCCTATCCTCTGAAGATTAACAAGGACTTATATCACTGTACATATAAATGACATCAGAATTCCTCACTGTATATTTCAGATTAAGAATTTACATATTAATTCTAGATATTTATTTGTTTTTTTAACACTGCCTTGATTATGTTTTTGTAGCTTCTTCAGTTATTATACTTTTGATTCCACTTATTTTAGAAATTATTAATTTGTAACTTGCATGAATTTATGTTAAACTTAGTTATAATCATTATATCTTCCGTTTTTTTTTAAATTTGTTTTTAATTTTGCATGATGTAATATACATATCAATTAGAATTCAATCTATGCATTTACATGTTGTTACTATTATTTTACTGATTATTTTTATTTAATTGATTATATCTGTTGATTTACTTTACTGCTTCTGGTAATTATTACAACCCTTAAATGTCAACAATTTCCAATTCCACATATTACTGTATACTCATGAATGGTTTGTAAAATGTCTTTGTGAATAGCCACCTGAAGTATTATTGATATTCTGTTATTTTCATTCATTGCATGAACTGTTCCCCATACTAGTATTCAGTTTAAATAAATCATGATCTTGTCATACATTTCAGTGATTAATGTATTCCTTCAGAACTCCACTCTATTTCAGTGATTAATGTATTTCCTTCAGAACATCAACTCCATATCAGTGATTAATATATTTCCTTCAGAACATCAACTCCATTCTCTTTAGTTTCTCCACCACCCCCCCCCCCCCCCCGTCCCCTGCCTCCCTCTCCTTTTCCCAACCCTTTCTCCCTTCCCTCTCCACCAGTTTCCTCTCCTTCATCTGTTGGACCATTTACAATATTGACTTTTTTGACCATGTTCACAATCCAAAGTACATTTTACTGGTATGAAAACCTTAAGTGTGTTCATCAATCCCCATGGCAATACAATATCAACTTATTTCAATTTATTCTAGTATCATATGGCAATAACTATCTAATTATGCTCTTGAATATCAGACTCTCACAAGTGTTTGAATCCAAAGAAATATTTATTTTTTCAAGTTTGTTTTACTTTAACATGCCTGAGTTATCTCTTTTTGCTCTTTCTAGCCTTTTCTCTCTAATTTACACACATTACAAGTGAACATTCCATAGCACTCGTATGGCCTCCAACAAACTGAGTACAATGGAATGTTCACTTCTAACAAGCGTATATACCAAGCTAACTAACTTATTTTTTATTTCATTGATTTGATACCTCCTGGGGTTCTAAGTACATTCTACCTTCCAAGTGACATTAATATTAAGATAAAGTAATTGAAATAATCAATTTTATTGGGGGATTCAGGGATAGATAGAGCTGAAAGTAAGCGAGTTCAGCGATAGATACAGTAGTATTCATCCATAATATTTCTGCACATGATGTACTTAAAACCTCAGTAGGACGTGATACATAACCATCTGACACATTCTGTTCTCATTATTCCAGGTTCAAGAACTCTCCAGTCCCCCAAGAGCCAGCATAGTTGTAAAAGACTGTGTAAAAGCATGTATGAAATCAACATACCAGTTCCTCTTTGACAATTGCTATGAACTTTACCAAAGAGAATTCCAAACTGACCCCAATGAAGAAAAGAAGGAGGGAGAACAACAGGGTCCAAACTCCAAGAGTCTAGAGTTTTGGCATAAGTTGATTGCCCTCTGTGTGTCTGTGATTGAGGAAGATACCAATAGTTATACACCAGTTCTAAATCAGTTCCCAGCTGAGCTGAATGTAGGACATGAGAGTGCTGCATCTATGTGGAGTTTGCTTGCACAAGATCTGCAGTATGCACTTCAGGGTAAGTCATGGACTATTCATATGTTCTAGGTGTTTAAAACTGTATTCAGTTCCTTCAATTTCAGAGTTGAAGTCCTTGTGCTAAAACCTGGTGAAGGACATTAGTGTTGAAGTACTTAATCACCACTTTGCTTCACCAAATGGATTGTTCTTTTTAATAAATATTTGTTAATTCACCCTGCGACTTATATTACTTATTTATACGAAGTCGCCTTTATATATTATTGTATTGAATAAAACATGACAAATAAAAAAAATGTTGAAGTATTGTTCTTTCATGCTGTTAATTCTAGGATTATCATTTGTTTTGGAATAATTAGTAATTTTATATTGAATTATAGAGGTCTAAAAGCTTTAAAAAGGCAAGTCAAGACCAAACTCTAACAAAAAAAATATGATTACAAAACTGATTTGATATCGGAACTTAAATGCCCCAAAATTAATGCCTATTCTTTAAAATGAGATGATGTGGAAATGTATTTACCTTTTTATTTCAGACCATGAGAAAGACAGACTATGCAAAAGTTCAGAGTATATGAACCTCCATTTTAAATGCAAGTGGATGTATAACAAGTATATCTGTAAGGTCCCTCCTTATAAGGGAGCTGTTCCAGAATACCCAGCGTAAGTTGATATTACTAGTACAATAAATAATACTTTGCAGAACCATGACAATGGTTGCCATAATAACCATGTTTTAATACAATGAAGATTGTCATGAAGATTTCACAGAATATTGTTAGATGTTCTCATATTGTGAAATTAAATGAATAAAGCTAAAGGACATTAACAACATACTAATTGTGCCTTCAAGGTCTCTAGTGAATTCTGTTAAATATTAATACACAACACATTGAAACAATGAGTAAAGCTAAATAAGATGGCAGTTAGTTTTTCATCAGTCATGTTATACATTCCAGGCTCTAAAATTTGTTTTTAATGAGAAAATATTCATTTTTGCCGATTTTTACATTTTGCAAGATGCATACATATACAGTGTTCGATTCTGAATTTGGGAAATATAGTAAGCATCAAAGTCATAGCAGTTTTTTTGAAAATGACAGATTATTATGTCACTTGTGGTCTCGGGACCTTTTTGTGACAAGAACGTGTCACTCTGGATCATCTACTGCTTAAGCTGATTATCTTTCAGTTTGATTTTTATTTTTCAGTTGGTTTATCCCATTTGTGATGCAGTGGCTGAACGAGAATGATGAAGTGTCAATGGAATACCTTCATGGTGCTTATGACAGGGACAGGAAAGATGGGGTAACCAAATTACCTGTTTTCAAATCATTGTTGTTCTCAAGTTATTCCTTTGAAAATCAAAGCATTGATATAGTCACTACATGTTGGACCAAAAACATCCATATTTATTTTTTATTTTGATATAACCCATATTTGTAGATAATAAGGGTGTTTCTACATGTATATGGCTGAATAAGCTGATAATAGATATCACCCTTATTTTTTGTTTTGCTTGGGCCAGACAGCCATTGATTTACTTGTTATAAATCGCAATAGTCACTATTTGATGATTTATGAAAAAGTGTCGATTTAATCTGTCTGAAACTTGAATGGCCAACTATTGGATGATTCTGTCAATGTACATATTGTGATTAATCATGGAAATTTTGGTTGTCAAATGATTAAACCAAGGTTTGAGTTTTAGCATTGCACCAATGGAGAGTTGGCCATTGGAAATGTCATGGGAAATGATTGAAATGACATAATTGTATAAATCAAAGTTATTATCAAAAATTCATTGGAGGTTTAATGTGCAAATTCCTCACGAAAAATTAAGAGTTGGTGAGATTTCAAAGCTATATAGGAACTCCTCTATTGCATTAATAAATATGCCCATTATTTCAATGGACATTCTATAAAAATACCATACCTTTCTGTGTTACAGTTCCAAAAGAGCTCAGAGCATGCTCTCTTCTCTACATCAGTGGTGGATGTCTTTACACAGCTCAATCAGTGCTTCGATGTCATTAAGAAACTTGAATGCCCAGATCCTGAGGTTGTCAAGAGATATATGAAACGTTTTGCCCTGGTAAGAAATATGCAGTTGTCTTGGGCTGATCAGCCTCTTAGTGATCCTATACTTTCATTTAGAACACAATTTTAAGGCCAGATATGAATTTTGACAGTTTCTCATATGGTAAATTATATTACATGATTGAACATACTAAAACAAACTATCTGCTCTGATCTAATGTAAAAAGACAGAAGCAAATCCATTAATAATGTACCATTCTTATTTTCAGACTATTGAGAAAGTTCTACTTGCATATGCTGAAATAGTACAGCGGGACTTCTCTCACTTTACTAGTGACCAAAAAGTGGTAAGACAGAATACCATTTTCAATACCTTCAAATCCGTGTGTATTACATAGTGTAAACAACAGTATTCCAATGCACATGTACATTCAGATTTTCATGTGTATTACATACTATAAACAACAACATTCCAATGCACAGCTTTTCATGTGGATTACATAGTGTAAACAGTATTCCAATGCACATGTACATTCAGCTTTTCGTGTGTATTACATACTGTAAACAACAGTATTGCAATGCACACGTACATTCAGCTTTTCATGTGTATTACATACTGTAAACAGCATTGCAATGCACATGTTCATTCAGCTTTTCATGTGTATTACATACTGTAAACAGTATTCCAATGCACATGTACATTCAGCTTTTCATGTGTATTACAAACTGTAAACAACAGCATTCCAATGCACACGTACATTCAGCTCTTCATGTGTATTACATACTGTAAACAGCATTCCAATGCACACATACATTCAGCTTTTCATGTATGTTACATACTGTAAATGGCATTCCAATGCACACGTACATTCAGTTTTTCATGTGTATTACATACTGTAAACAGCATTCCAATGCACACATGCATTCAGCTTTTCATGTATGTTACATACTGTAAATGGCATTCCAATGCACACGTACATTCAGTTTTTCATGTGGATTACATACTATAAACAGCATTCCAATGCACATGTTCATTCAGCTTTTCATGTGTATTACATACTGTAAACAGCATTGCAATGCACACGTACATTCAGCTTTTCATGTGTATTACATACTGTAAACAGCATTCCAATGCACACATGCATTCAGCTTTTCATGTATGTTACATACTGTAAATGGCATTCCAATGCACACGTACATTCAGTTTTTCATGTGTATTACATACTGTAAACAGCATTCCAATGCACACATGCATTCAGCTTTTCATGTATGTTACATACTGTAAATGGCATTCCAATGCACACGTACATTCAGTTTTTCATGTGGATTACATACTATAAACAGCATTCCAATGCACATGTACATTCAGCTTTTCATGTGTATTACATACTGTAAACAGCATTCCAATGCACACATACATTCAGCTTTTCATGTGTATTACATATGTAAACAACAGCATTCCAATGCACACATACATTCAGCTTTTCATGTGTATTACATATGTAAACAACAGCATTCCAATGCACATGTACATTCAGCTTTTCATGTGTATTACATACTGTAAACAGCATTCCAATGCACATGTACATTCAGCTTTTCATGTGGATTACATACTGTAAACAGCATTTCAATGCACATGTACATTTAGCTTTTCATGTGTATTACATATGTAAACAACAGCATTCCAATGCACATGTACATTCAGCTTTTCATGTGTATTACATACTGTAAACAACAGCATTGCAATGCACACGTACATTTAGCTTTTCATGTGTATTACATATGTAAACAACAGCATTCCAATGCACATGTACATTCAGCTTTTCATGTGTATTACATACTGTAAACAACAGTATTGCAATGCACACGTACATTCAGCTTTTCTTGTGTATTACATACTGTAAACAGCATTCCAATGCACACATACATTCAGCTTTTCATGTGTATTACATATGTAAACAACAGCATTCCAATGCACATGTACATTCAGCTTTTCATGTGTATTACATACTGTAAACAGCATTCCAATGCACATGTACATTCAGCTTTTCATGTGGATTACATACTGTAAACAGCATTTCAATGCACATGTACATTTAGCTTTTCATGTGTATTACATATGTAAACAACAGCATTCCAATGCACATGTACATTCAGCTTTTCATGTGTATTACATACTGTAAACAACAGCATTACAATGCACACGTACATTCAGCTTTTCATGTGTATTACATACTGTAAACAGCATTCCAATGCACATGTACATTCAGCTTTTAATGTGTATTACATACTGTAAACAACAGTATTCCAATGCACACGTACATTCAGCTTTTCATGTGTATTACATATGTAAACAACAGCATTCCAATGCACATGTACATTCAGCTTTTAATGTGCAGTACATACTGTAAACAGTTGATGAAATAAGACCCTGTTGTCTTTCTGTCCCATTATGTTCTTTGTTGACAAAATGCTGACATTAAAACAAGTTATTTTAAAACTAAAAAAGGTTTGTTTTGCTTTATTCACCCCTGCATTAACAGGTAAAGCCCAGTGAAGAAGCTGTGAATGATGGTGTCAAGGTAGTATTTAGCAGATACCTAGGTCTAACTATGCTTTACACCCCCAATTATACAATATCACATGTACAGAAGGGACTGGGTCAAAATGTTTTTGCTTTTTGCTTAAAACTAGTTCAACAAAGACCCCATGATCAAGTTCATGGACTTTGAAATGACATTTTGCCCATTTATTCCAATTTTTATATACAATCTGTGTCCCTCATGAATAATTGTTTTTGCGAAATAGAATACAATGACTTATCCCCAAAAGTGAAATCCCCTAACACACTCATCATTCTTATGATTTTGTAGAATTTTGAATTTATTTATTTATTTTAAAACTATTTCATAACTTCATAGTCATACCAGCTGAACTTAAAGATAACAATCATTCCCATAATCATAATCACAAGTTCTATTTAAGTTTAATATATAATGGCTTTGAAGAATGTTCAAGGTCAAAGGTCAAGGTCATCAAAGTAGGTCAAAAATGCTGTTATCTAAGTTTCTCAAAGTTTGAGACTACAAATCAATAGTTTTGATTGAAAGTCAGGATAAACATTCCTCTAAAAGTTCTACACATATTAGCATGTAACCATATGTTACAATTTTGCACCAGTTTTCAGATAGAATAGCCCGAAAACTGAATAAAGGTCAAATTCCTAATAAATGTTTTGGCTTTGGCTTACCTTTTATAACACAGTTCATGAAATTAGTGTAAACTTCCCTACCCCTGCCACCTGTACACATAATTAAGATGGACAAAACTATTTTTAAAAATTAAGTGCTTTGGAATAAATTGTAAGAAATAGTTTTTGTCTTTAGTACAAGCTTTCAATATTTTATAGTTAAGTCCAAATTTACAGATCAATATTATTTGTTCTGGTCAATCTATTTAAAGACATGAATACTAAAAAGTGAAAAGGAGGCAAAAAAGGACTTTAATTATCATCAAAGTCAATTTCAAGTCAATGTCTTCACAAGAAATATTCAAACAGTTAGTAGTTTTCCAAATGTAATATCCAGTGGCCCATTTTCACATGTAATTTATGAAATGTATTATCTTATCCAAAATTTAATGTCCCTTACTAGAGCACAAATCCCTGAAAGATAATACGAGTCATCCATGACTGACAATTAACAATATTTTTGAACCTAAATGGCATTTGGATTTCCTAACGAATGAACTTCAAACTCATGCAACATATACCATAAAAAGGGGAAAGGTTTGTTCAGTTCTGAACTCATTGCGTACTTGTTCATTGTAGGCATGTATTTTGATGAACAACATCCAACAACTTAGAGTGCAGCTTGAGAAGATGTTTGAGGCAATGGGAGGTGGAAGTGTAAGTAAATACAAAGAACAGCCTGGGGCAGATATATCATTGGCCCCCAGTCTTCTGAAATGTCAAAATGCAGACTTTTTTTACTGAACTTATAACAAATACTTGTATTGAAAATAGAATAACTATTTGCAAACAAAAAGTTATTCTATATCTTTTGCATTTTAATGTTTGCACCATTTTCTACAAATTTTTATGTGTTAGATAAAGTCAAAGGACAAAATCGAGAGACACAAAAAAGTTATATAAACCCTATCATCCACGTTAAAAGTGTATAAAAAGAGCCATTGTAATTTTCTCTCATTTGCAGTTAGATGAAGATGCATCATTTGTGTTAAAAGAGCTCCAACAGAAGCTGAATGGAGTATTAGATGAACTGTCTGTGATATTTGCCAACAGCTTAGAACCTCAGATCCAACAGAGCATGCAGGAGCTAGGCAAACTCCTACAACAGGTCAAAGGTCAAGGGCAGGTCAGTCTAAATCAACCGAGTCAGCGGAATGACATCCAACAACAAAGTGATAATGTCCTAAGGCCCCTAATGGACCTGCTGGATGGGAGTTTGTCGATGTTCGCTCAAGTGTGTGAGAAAACTGTGCTCAAGAGATTACTAAAGGAGCTTTGGAGGATTGTTATGCATACAATGGAGAAGACAGTTGTGCTCCCACCCCTCTCAGACCCCAGACAGGTAAACATGTCTTTCAATAATGATCTATTTAAAATACAATGTTAAGAATTTGCATATACTGTTGTTGTTGTTGTTGAGTTATTCAATGATTCAAGTCATATAAAGACAACATTACAATATTAATGCACAGTATTATTGAATTTCATGACTGTTCCCAACAAAACAGCTAATATTCATGGGCGTGGCACCCAGTATGCTGGGTACGCACAGGCGTACCAGATGGTTTCAAATTCGCTCCAAATACAACCAAATTTCAAAAATATTTTTTGCTTTTAATTCTTGCTCCCATGCGGGCTCCCGTGGTGGTGTACTACTTAAAAAAATAGCGCTACGCCCATGATATTATATTGTCTTTCAGAGTTGTACAGTGTCATACAGCCATCTAAAGAGAAATAACAATTGAACCTTTTTATAGGTAGATGTACAACAAGCATTTTTAAGTCCCAATTGAAAATATCACAAATTTCCCAGCTAAATGCTCAAGTTTCATATGTATGAGGCCTTCATAATTAGTTTTCTATTTTTTAAATGTTGACTGAGATTTTTATGTTAAGAGTTATTGTTTTGCCATTTTGCCAGTTTCTACCAGGCTTTCCTACAAGTGATATCACTGCAGATGATATATTTGGTCGAGTATGTTGCTTTGTTCGGGTATTTTCCCAGAACCATTGGAAATTAGTATATGATTGCTTTGTAGTGCGTAAAAAGTGGAAAAAGCAGGATAACGGAACTATATATGACATGTGTAATAAAGGACAACCTGAAATACAAACCAGGAAAACTGAAAGCTCGGACAAAGTTTTGACTCAATATCTGGCTAAATAAGTTCCTTTATCCTTTTTAGAACTTTTGCAACCTTTAATGATACTAGCCACCAAATTTTGATAATCATTTAGCTTGTGACATACAATATGACACCATGAAGCAATTATGAAGTTAAAACTGTATTATTTTTAACGTAGAAGCCAATGGAGTCTGGTACACAGCTGGTAGTAGAGGAGCTCCATTAACATTGGCATAGTGGAGCATAGTGATATGCTTGTAGTGAAATATATATTTTGTATGATGTCATCATATTGTTCCATCAATTAGACTGACCTAATCTGCATTTGTTCGGGCTAGTGGTGCTAATTAAACAGCTGATCCTCTAGGTCCAACTGCTGTAGCTGCTGTTATTCTGTTAAATCTATGGTAACAGCTATATCACTGTAGTAATCCTTTGCCCTTGGTTGTCAACGTCATGGTAACAAACATATCACTATAGTTGCCAATTTGTTTCTCAGTTTCAATTACTATAGTTTACAATATCTCAAGTATTTGGTACTAGAGGTGTCACTGGTACCCAATTTTGTTCCAAACCATGGAATTAGACTCTCGGGTTGGAACAAAATGTCAACATTTGGTTTTGTTTTTTGCACCGAAAGAAGTTAATTTCTTTCACTCCTTCTCATGTAAGAGTTTTGAGAGCTTTTAAATTCTAGATGGATCTTGTGAACTCTGTTTAGAACCATTCCAAATTTGTTCATTTTCATGTGACACCTCTATTTGTTACAGTTTCAGATTCTCTTGAGAATAAAATGGTTACTATGGTAATATTTCCCTAAAGCATGGTTGTCATGCCAACCCATATTCATTTTCAGGAAACAGCTACATCAAGACGTAAAACATCCATGACTGTATGTTTTTATTCTCTTCTATCTCTTATAGTTTGGTGATGGTTTATGGGGATTGGAATCTACTAACGAAGATGTAACATTGTAAAAGTGTTCTCCCTGGGATTTGCTTCAACTGGGTGTAAAAGTTGAACTAATCTGAAAAATATCAAAAACTTTTCAAAATTCATTTTTTCATGCTGTCCAAAATCTCAGGGTCCAAGTCAACTTCATAAATTCTTGAATGGTTTGAGAGCCCAGTTGCTTCAATCCCTTGGAGATAACTTCATCATACCCATTACTTTTCACATTCTGAATAATATGCTTTATCTTTATTTGTGGTGAGGGGTCTATATTGATTGTTGCAAACAAGGAGATGACAGCAATCTTTCTTTCATTAATGTAGTTATATTACATCCCCAAGGCTTTATGCTTCACTTTTAACTCCCTTGTTCTTCTTGAATATTTCCTAGGTAAATCATCAGTCCAATTATAGAAAATACTCATGTATGCAAATTCCAGAGAAATCATGCTTTGTCCTTGATAAGCATGAGGTTTGACAATTTAATTCGACACAAACATTCATATGGGCACATGCTAACAGGCACACTTTGGTCTTCTAACAGGCATGCTATTTAACCAATAAATGGGCCCATAACAGGCTGTGATTAACAATACAACTACTGCTAATAATTTTTATGTTCATGTAGAGTATAGATATGGCCGTGAGAGTCGTACATGTAAAATTATTAATATAAAATTAATATAAATAAATATTGAGCCAATTAACACAAAACACAATACCTTGGAAAATAATGGCTAATTTAAGTTAATTAGCTACAAGAGTTTACACTTTGACATAACTGTTAATTAGCTCAATTGGATATATTATAATACCATCTCCAACTCATCTTCTTGGGCGAAAATAAATCTCCAACTGGTGGTGTAAGCTGGGGAAGGAGGTGAGGGAAAAGAATCGAAATGTATAACTTACATTGATGTTAATGGATTTTGTACGCACCTAGGGAGAAAACCCTCCAACTACAATCCTATCGATATCTCGTCTGAAGTCTCATCTCGTACTCTCGAGATCTGAAGCTTGATGTTTCGTTCAGTGTAACTTACCAGAAACATTTACCTGGGATAACCGGGGAATGGTCTTCTTAGGGCTTGTTCATACCTAAACCTTAACCGACTCTCACATTGCCATAAATGAAATTATTGTCAATAATTTGAATATGGTGGTTGGTATTTTCTTTTTTTAGCTTCTACCTCTTCCAACCAATGCTCAAGCTAAAATAGAAGATGTTTCCAAGCTATTCTTAAACCATGTAACCTCAATACAGGTGAATTTACTGCAGTCTTTTAACACTTTAAGCTTGCAGACCTACATTATGACAATCGAATCATGATTTATTGTGATGTTGTGATGCACCATCATCATCTCATCCTCCCAAAAAGGGTAATACACATTTGATGGCAGAGATGAAATCGATTAAATATTTTATTAAAAATAAATGTATCAAGCAATAAAGTAGGTCTGCATTCATTTAGTACATTTCTATTGCTATCTTTATTACCTCATTTGAATCCTTTATATAACTAATACAATTCATTTTCAACAGTTCATAATCAGTTCAAAAGCAAAAGCTTCTTTTCTAACTAAAACAACAATACTTAAAAATAAAGTGAGAATGTAATTTTTGTGTAAAACATAACTTTTGATTTTCACTCCATATCTCCTTCCAACTATACTCTAACATTAAACTTTGCATGTGGAGATTGCATGTAGCCTTGCATAGTTTGTTGCCTTGGCTACTTATATTGGTTGCTGTGGTTACTGCTGGTTACTAATGGTGATGGTTCTTTCAGGGTCTGCCATCTTCTGCATCTTCATTTAACTTCAAGAACCTTTCTGCAGAGAAAGCCACTCAAATTCTCAAGGTTTGTAATAGCCAAGGAAACTGTTTCACAAAAATATTTGTATAATTATTTTCCATTTACTGTATAAACATGAATATATGAAGTATTTGGTTTTACGACAAGGTAAATAAAAGATCGTTGATACTTACTATGTTTCACAGGAAATATCCCAGTGACCATTGCACCCTCTATACCGTGTGCTACACTTTTGTATTGTTCAATCCTGGCTGGAACATTGGAATGTAGCAAAATGGAATGTTGGTTTTAGTGAATCTTATATACCCACGAGAATGTTCAAGTTTATCTGTATTATCTGAGTTTGGTCAAAATTTTTGTGAAACATAGCCTTGGAATATTCAACATTCGCATTATCATGATTTATGCTTTATTTATGTGTTCTTATTTGTATGTTGGGTGTTTTATTTAGAAAAAAAGTTTTGATATTATAAGTTATTGAATGATTTGAAGTGCAATACAGGATATATTCTGTTCGAGAAATTCCGTATTGGAACGAGACGAAGTCGAGTGCCAATACAGAATATCGAGACAGAATATATCCTGTATTGCACTTCAAATCATTCAATAACGTTTTTATCGTGTTATCCTCTATATTGCTACTGAGATTGTCTCCTCCGTACCAATATTTTCTGTATTGCGACGGAGATGATCAACGCGGACTATCTCAGTAGCAATACAGATTGGTACAGCACAAGAACTGACCAATCAAAGGGCTTCATTTTACAGATCATACGATAATAATATTGTATTGGTAGTAGACTTTGATAAAGTTAAATTTATAAAATAATTTTAGGTTTACATTTTGATTTGAATATAAATCTTGTTCCAAATTAAAAATCTATATTGAAAAAATTATAAAATTTATATTTAGACAGAAATACATCTGTTCATATTGTATACATGTTCGCTTGATTTTTATCCTTACTAGGATATATCCAAGTTCCCTGTTAACAGCCTCACTCCCAAACAGTGTGCTGTCCTCGATGTTACTCTCGACACCATCAAGTTATTTTTCCAAGGCGAGGATGGACAAGGCTTAAAACGAACTTTTGTGGAAAAAAGTTGTGAGCTCAAATCCCTGAAACACGCTCTGTCATTGTACACACAGACAACAGACTCTCTGATAAAGACTTTCATCCATCGGAAAATCATCAAGGGTAATTTTCCTCCACGTTGTTTCACTTTTAGATATATATGTAGTCTTATATGTTGCATGCTATTTTGCTTTGTTAGGACATCTCGAAAGAGGCTGAAAAAAATCTTAGCCCAAAACAATGTGCTGTATTAGACATGGCTCTAGATACAATCAAGCAGTACTTTCATGCTGGTGGTAATGGACTGAAGAAAACTTTCTTGGACAAAAGTGCTGAGTTGCAGTCTCTTCGTTATGCATTGTCCTTATACACACAAACTACGGACACCCTGATCAAGACCTTTATTAGCACACAAACCACACAGGGTAATTGCATGCATACTCTATCTTTCTCTAAACACACAGAAGGTTCCTACCCAAGACCCCCCTCTCCCTCTCATTGTTCATTTTGTTGCATATTACCATTACTTTGTATGTCCTAGAGTTCTGCATTCCTCTACCAGAGCACTTTTAAAGCACAATCCTTTTGTATGGGAGAAATTCAATCTTTCAATTTTCTTGCAATCAATATCAATTCTAGATTGTCCTTGGTGGGAACATTGGCTTTCAAGAGGAAGTCCATGGTGGGAAATATGTCTAATGAATACATACATGTACTGACTTGCAAATCTTTTAACCACATGTTATTTGAGAGTGGTCCATCCTGTAAAATATGCACTTTGAATTGAATCTTTCTGGTATTAATTTTCCAATGTTGTCTATAAAGCTAGTATCCACCATTTTTGGTAAGAACCTCCTGTGACTAATCAATCAACATTTATTTATTCAAATATTTTTAACTTAACTTCCATATATTAGATATTCTTGCACAGTTAATAGATAAATAGATTAAACTATCATTTTGTTTTAGCTATAACTTTATAGAATTTATTATAAGTCATTAATATTGTCATGTTTACCTTTTATTAATATATTTCATAGATTGTCAGGACTGCATGACAGTCAGGTGACCAGGCCCAAGAATGGGCTCATTTTCATGAGTTAATAACCTAGTTTTCTTGGACCTGCTTACTGGACTGTTTCTTTAATCTGTTATTACCCTCTCCACTTTTATTAACTAAGTGTTCAACTAACATCACAATCACCCAATCTGTACAACTCCACATTATCAATGTCACCGTTCTATTTACACACACAACTTGCACCAAATCCAAATTGTTAATTTACGTTTACTGAAATTAATGAAAATTGCATTTGATTGATGTGCTAAAATGCAATCAATTGATGACCTGAAATTCAAAAAAGCATTTGATTGATGTGCTGAAGTGCAATCAGTTGATAACATGAAATTCAACAAAAGCCTTTGATTGGTGTGCTGAAATGCAATCAATTGATGACCTGAAATTCAAAAAATGCATTTGATTGATGTACTGTTTGCTGAAATGCAATCAATTGATGACCTGAAATTCAAAGAAGCATTTCATTGATGTGCTGATATGAAATCAATTGATGACTTGAAATTTAAAAATGCATTTGATTGGTGTGGTGAAATGCAATCAAATGATAATCTAAAATTTTAAAAATGCATTTGATTGTTAATAACACACTACCCATCCTGATCCAGGTAGAGGTGGCTATCTGTGCCAGGTATTACAATTTATTTAATTCAGGAATAAATAATGATAGGCCATTCAATATGTTGAAATTCAGCACGAGTTGAACAGAATGTCGTACAAAGCACGAACTGAAAGGACACCCTGTATCATTATTTATTCCGATTCTAACACAATGAATGAAGAAAACATTGTCATTCACTCGTCAAAATTCATCAGTGGCTATCCCTAGATAGAGCCCTAGATGTGGCGTCACAATACAATGTAGATTCCCGGATTTCCATAATGTCAGGTCGTGCATAATGCACGGTCATGCATGTATGGAGAATTAGGGAATGGCTATGCTGCATTCTGATGGTTTCAGAAACTTAATTAGAGAATGGTCATGTTTGAATTTTCTTTTAAGTAAAAATTAGTTTGGCCTTGCTAAGGTCATGGAACTGTTTCAGTTATCAACTGGTTCGTACTTAATGAAGTAAATCAACTTTTTTAAACAGTTGTATAATACACAGCAGTATTTGTATATGCAGAATCATCCTAGAGCCAATTATCTGTGGTGTCATTCTGTTGTGTTACATTGTGTAAAAACACCTTAATGCAGCAATCAGATAGAATTTTACATCCAGTTTACAGTCATGGAATGGCTGTATGTATCACAATCCCAATGTTGACAAAAACTCAGAAAACATAGGCATTTTTGTCAGAATACATGTATTGCTATTTAGTATTTTTTAACCCTTTGAATTGTTGTTTCAACAGACCAACCAAGTGTAGAAGATCCAGTTGGCGAAGTGTCAATCCAGGTGGATCTCTTCACACATCCAGGAACAGGGGAGCACAAAGTCACAGTCAAAGGTAAAGCCAATATTATTTTAAGTTAAAGCCAATTAATTGTTTAATGTCAAAGATAGATTTGATTTATGGCAGGGGTAAAGTGAATAACTGTTGAGGTTAGTCGATATACCTAACCTTTTTGGCTCACACAGTGAGCCTATGGGATCGTCTGTCCGTTGCTCCGTCCGTCCGTCAACATTGACCGCACAAATTAAAAATGCTTTTCGGATTGAGTCCTATCCACATTCATTTTATGCATATCCATAATGCCTATTTGACCTATCATCGCCATTTCCCAAGTTGTATATGCAACTTATGTTCTCTGAAGATTTCAATGCTCTTGAAATTACAGTTTTTGGTGTTTACTCTATAAAATTTGACAAAAAGTAGGACTTTGTCATTTTCAGGGAACTTTCTCATGTATAAAGTCAATAATCATTGGCTGCACAAATTAAAACTGCTATTATATTCACATTCATTTTATGCATATCCATAATGCCTGTTTGACCTATCAACACCATTTCTCAAGTTCGCCCAGTTTCTGAGAAATTGCCGATTTTGACGTCAAAAAGTCAAATTAATTGACTAACAGAACAATTGACTAACTGAAACTGATCATTCTGATACTCATAGCATCTTTCTGTTTCACCTTCAGGGCTGAGAAGAAATGAGATGTCATGGTATATCATGATGATGATGGAAACTGATAGGCAAATCTGACTTGAGAAACTCAGTACTGAGTAACTAAATAATCAATTTGAAAAATCAACTTTTTGGATGTAAATTTTGGTCACCTTAATCACAAAAGACCTACTGAGCTCTGAATAAGTAAAATGTTCAAGGTCAAAGGTCCTCAAACTAGGTCACAAACTGTGCTATCTAAGTTTCTCAAAGTTCGAGACTACAAATCCAAATCAATATTTTTGTTTGAAAGTCAGGATATACATTCCTCTGAAGGTTCTACATTGTGTGAGCACAGGACCGTGGGTCCTTTATTTATTATATTAAGGTGTTGATATCAAAAAGAAACCTCCGATGTCACCTTTTGTATTATTGAGATGATGAAGTTATAACATAAATTTTGTATGATTAATTCTATAATTAAATCTCAGTTTAACCACTGGCATCACTGTTGAGTACTTTTGAAACATATTGTTGTTCAGTGGTTAAGCTGCCTTATGTTCTACATAAGCAAAGCGATTATCAATTAAAAAATATTTACCTTGAATACTGTTTTTAGTTTCATAAAAAGAAAAATAATTTTGGTAACTCTAATGATTCTAACATCGGAAGATCTAATTCATATTTATTTATCTGTGTACAAACTGACAAATTCCAACAATCTATTGTATGCCCATGATTAGTATACTAGTATATGTATTCATTCTGAAAAAAAATATTCCAAGATAAAAATTTTGAATGTAACCAATTTCCTCTCTTTAATTTTAAAGAGGAACATAATACAGAATTAATGTATTCCAATTATACACATCTTTTTTTAGTTGTGGCTGCAAATGACCTGAAATGGAATACTTCTGCCATGTTTCGGCCATTTATTGAGGTGAATTTGATTGGTCCTCACTTAGCTGATAAGAAACGAAAGCACACAACAAAATCAAAGAGTAACAACTGGTCACCAAAGTTTAATGAAACATTCCACTTGTGAGTATAAAGAAGTTTTTTTACTGTTTTTACTGTGAGCACAGCAAAATCCACAAGTATAGATGAGATGATAGGCTGAGAAAGTCATAGGATATCATATTAATTCTACGGATTTTGGAATATTGCTATGCTACTATGTACATTCTCAAATAGCCCTCATATAACTTAAAATCAATTTAAACACTGCTTCAAACACTTAAATATGTGGTTGCATGAAAATATTGAAAATCATTATAATAAGCACATAATGGTTTGAACAATTATTCAATTTAACATCCCTATATTGTTTTAAGTATAATTGGCAATGAAGAAGAGCCAGACAGCTACGAACTTCACATATGCTGTAAGGACTATTGTTTTGCTCGTGAGGACCGCCTTATTGGAGTTGCTGTGATGCAGCTCCGAGACATTGTCGAGCAAGGAAGCTGTGCCTGCTGGTGCAGCCTGGGAAGGCGGGTACATCTCGATGAGACAGGGTGGACAATACTGAGAATCTTATCTCAGAGGACTAATGATGAAGTCGCCAAGGAATTTGTAAAATTAAAGTCTGAATGTCGTCACCCAGAAGATGTAGGGTGAATACAGTGCCCTCTTTTGGTGATTTATGCCAGTGGTTGTGGTTTACGAGTGCCTATATTATGTTATACAGCTGTGATGTTACATTATACAGCAACATACAGCCATGTTGTCACAATGTACAGCCATCATGTCATAAACAGCCATTATGTAACAATATACAGCCATGACATCATAATATACAGCTGTGATGTGATATTGGATGGCAGACAAGTCGATCTCTAAGGAGATTCAACTTTGATGGTTGTATATCTAGACAGTTATCAATGGTAGATGGGAATCAGATTAATCCTTGCACTGATTATGTGAGGCAAAATATATAATTGTGTGCTAATGACACATATAATACATATATATACATGCTAATTGTACAATGCATGTGCTAATGAAACAATCAAACACGCGCTCAAAATGACAAACTATTGCAATAACTTCTCATGGTGCAAGTGCTAGTGATATAATATTTCATTGTCGTTAGTTAGATCATTTGTAGAAATTATTGACAGCTATCTAGCTCTAAGTTTAACATACTGTATAGAAGTAAAATTAGAACAACTTGAAGTGTGCTTTCGAATAGCAAAGGCAGAGTGTTACTACAATGGTTTGAGTCTGTATCTCAAAATGAAATAATAAGGACTACTCTGTGAGATATAGTAGATGAAATAGAGATGTAGCCATGATTGAATGAAATTTCACTAGTGTAGTTAAAGTTAAACACTGCCCTTCTTCCTTTGAATTCAGATACATTTGTCTCAAAAGTGTTATAGAAATTAGATTAAGCCATAGCCATGCTCTAGCATCAGACTGGCCACACAGCCGCACATCAGTCAGTCAGTGTCCAGTGCAGATGCTATATGATAATTTAGGAACTGATTAGCTGATTAGTTGTGACTGAGTACATTAAATTGATTTTATTTCAATGTAGCTTGAAAATGCATTGATTGCAATAAATTTTCGTAGGAGATCCAGGATCTTAAAATGGGATAAATAAATCTTTGGGGGTGTCTGAATAAATAGAGGTTTACCGACACTAGTGGTTGAAATGAAAACACAATTGTATGGATAATATTCGAAGCCCGCAAATTTGGGCACTTGTTTTTTCAATCTCCTTTAAGACTCTGATTAATACTGTGCTAATCTTAATTCATTTTCATGTTTCACCCAGTCCATCTAATCCTTCATCTGTCTTTGTACCCTCCCAATGCTTCAGTTTTGCTAATATCTTTTTTTCACTTATTCCAGAACTCTGCTGAGAACTGTATATTTTCAATTAGACCCCCTGCTTCATCATCAAAAATATTAAAGATATTTGCATTATTAAAAACATAAAAGCAAATAAAAAATATTCAAGTTTATTGGCTCACAATGTATGTTATATTTGTAATTTAGATGTTATACTTAAAAAGTTGGAATCGTGTACTCATTTAGTTCCAATGCTTTATATAAGGATATATTGTTGATTTTTCAAAGGTTTTAGATGTCCTGTAACCTCTCTTCCATATTCATAGATGTTTCTAAATGCATTCAGTGAATGTTGCTTTATTCAGATAATTATATTGTTGTTATATTCATATGTGGATATATGTACCAGACTGAGGGAGGGTATTGTCTTTCAATGTGAACTTATTGTTTGATAAAGTGTTCAATTTATAATTATAAGGCTCTTGAAATTTGAAATATTTGCTTCAATTCATAATGAAGTGAAAATGGAACATGTTTAAAGAGTTATTATTTATTGAAGCTGAGTAATGTAAAATCTGATTTGCATGGCATCTTTATTCGATATTTTCAATTTATTTTCTTGTTTGAATTTACACTTATCAATTTTTGTCCAAATTTTTTCAATTCTATGTCTTCAAACACCAATAATCAAGACACTGAAAAAAAGGATTCAAAAAAAAATTCCGAATACACTTCCTTCAATTTTCGATCCAAAAGTTTAAACCAAAATGATCAAATGCTCGAACCAAAATTGTACAAAAGTTCGAACTAAGAAATCGACACATCTGGAGTTTGGCATTCCCGATATAATACCATTACACATACGTAAATTCAGAAAAATGATAGAAAATCTAGTTCTCACATTTTTCCCACTCCAGGAGTAAAATATTGATATAATGCGCAAAATGCAGAACAGTTTGAATCGAAAAATAAGAGATGCCAAACGGTTTGAATAGAAAAATAAAAAGTTCGAATAAGAAAAATGTATACGAGTATATCAAATACCAAAATGAAAAGTTCAAACATGATATGTATAATGATATGTATTTACTTTGAATTTTTTCCTTATTTGATGTCTTTTGTCTCAGATTTTTTGAAATATATTTTCTTATTTGATGTTTTAAATATATTTCGACTATTTAAAATATATCAAATATGAAACTAACATTGAATTTTGAGCCATTTCTAACACCATAGATTTGAAAGTAATTTAACCAGCTGTCTCTGCAAAATTGATAGTCATATGTCCTGGCTATAGTACAACAATTAAGATTTCTAGTTAAACACAATAGCACAGTAAGACCTTGTTCTATGGAACAGCATTGTGTAAGGAACTCATTTTTTCAAAAGAGTCAAGTACCAATGGCTTACATGTTAAGGAACACTTGTTTGCAAAGAACAGTTCAGGCCAGTATGGAGGGTGTTCCATATAGACGGGTTTTACTCTACATCCTATTTAAGGGCAGTAAACTGCAATGCAATGCATTAAAATATCCCCCTATCTATTGTATACATACATGTGCATGCACTCTCTCACTGTATGTGTTTTGTCAAAGAAAGGACAGACTGGATGGTATGAACTACTTTGATTGTTATGGATTTTACTAGAGAAGAAGGCAGTAAATGGGACAAAGGGTCAACAGAATATTGGATTGATTGTTGAAGCTATAGTAATAGAATCTCAAAAGTTCTTCAAAGTTATTACAATGCTTTAAAACCTGTATATCTAAACACCTCTGTATACATTGAAATTTAAATTCTTTAGAAAATGACACATTGAGTTATTAAATAGTTCCTGATATTCCTTGAAAACTATGACAATTTATTATGTAATTAAAGGGTAAATCTGTCATACATTTATTTTCAAAATTACATAGATATTTTAAAAATAAGGTGGAAATCCACGTACAGAACAATCAATTTTATGAACTTGTTTTTACAGTACTAGGCCAAGCTTTTTGAAAATCTTTGTCAATATGTGTCAGATTTTCCCTTTGATTTGTTCTGGTATATGATATATGTGCAGTAAAGAAATATAAATTGAAGTGCATGCATCCAATATATGATTTCAATTCTAAATACTTCTGCTTATTGGACAGGGTTTATCATGATCCAACAGTGATTCTAAACTGCTTAGATGTGCAATTAATGTTTGCAGCAATATTAAAGAATGTTACATTATATACATTACTCTGTAGAGAATGTTACATTATATACATTACTCTGTAGAGAATGTTACATTATATACATTACTCTGTAGAGAATGTTACATTATATATCTAATCTCCTACCTGCAGTAAATGTTACAAGATTGTGCATGTTAAGGGACAGTCTCACATGTTTTTACTAAGTTCTACATTCATTTTCTCTCATTTCAAAGTTCCCTTTCATAATTGTTTTTCAAAAGCTCAGTGTCATAACAGGTAGTAAATTGGAACCAACATGTAGAATTTAGTCCAAACGCTTTGAGACCACCCCTTAGTGAGAGAGATGAATTTAATTTAGTTCATTACACTGTTCTTTAATCTGTTGGCCTAATCTGTTATTATTTTCACAGTCTAATTGTTTGTTACATGATGTAAAATATAATATAAATATAAAGTAAGATATTGTAAATATTCAACTTTTTATATACAGAGATTATATATAGCATTACGTGATGTGAAATCCCCCTTTTTACTATGTAGAGGTAGCATGTTGACATGTATATGAAATCTGTAGAAATTACACTAGTTATGTGTAATGATCATTTCAAAAATTATGTTATTCAAAGTTAATAGCATACAATTTGGTTATTTAAATTATTTCACTGGTGTATCGATTACAATTGTTATGCCTCCCTTCCTCCGAAGGACCATCCACAAAACAAGCTTTAGTTTTGGGGATATGGATATGGGAAGGAGGCGAAGGGGGTTGTGACATAAAGAATTCTTTGGCAGATGCAAGATTGTTATTTAGAGGACAGTTTATTGATTCCATAGCTTTATTCTAATTGGTACTTATATTATAGAACATGTATATATGAATGATGTCACTGTGTGCTCATCATCTCTACATGCAATGCTTGGTAGCTGGGTTCATTTTATTGTTTAGGATTTTGTACAAATTGATAAAGAATAAAAAGAAATATCCCTTTAAACATAAGTTTTGTTTTTATTTTACATAATTATACAAACTTAGAGATTCATACATACAGGGTGTCCCGAAAGTATGCCCCCCCTAGGCAGATATATACCAGTGTTGTCATAGTATGTGTCATATATCATTTTAAAGCTTATCTAAAGTTACATTGAATTGCCAAGTATCATGGTTCAACTCTCAAATGCGAAAAAATTACAGGCATTTCAAAATTTAGTGTTTGGTCAAAATTAAGTTCAATTTTACACCAAATCAACAGTTAATGTGTCCTCCTGGGCCATCTATAACAGCAGAAATTCTTTTTGGGTCGGATGGATATTGAGTTGGAAAAAGAGAACGGTGAGAGTAGAAACTCTAAGGAAACTCTTCTTAAGTGCCTTAACAGGTTTTAAGAAGGTCATAAAATTCCACACTCCTATTTGAAGGGCTTTTAAGGTCATATCTGAAAATAATTGCTGCGGTTAACATGGCCAAGGGGGGACTCATTGACTAGTAATGTGGTGTAAAATTGAACTTCATTTTGACAAAACACTAACTTTTAAAATGACTAACGTTTTCCCATTTGGGAGTTAAACCGTGATACTTGGTAAATCAATGTAACTTTGGATAAGCTTTAAAATGATAATGCGTTAGTTACGACTGTATATATACGGGATATACCCACGAAGTTGCTCACCTTCATTAGCGGTAAATAATATACAATGCAATACAATACAATACAATATAATGAGCTTTTGAGGTGTTCTTGCCAGGAATTTCAGTTATCTAATCTATTACTAGGTGTTTAACCATTGCCTATTCTTCATTTTTCAATTAAAATATTAAATGAGACTTTCATTTCCTGTCTTGGAATTTCCTTCTGAATTTCTCAAAAAATCTCATGAAATGATTTTTTCTCAATGTTGATTTTTCAAAAATTCAACACATTCTAAGATCATCCATCATATCACAAATGGGGTCAGTGGGGTACGATTGTGACATAAACAAGCTAAAAAAATAAGATTTATTTTCAATTTTACAAAAATTGATGCAACTTCCTTCAAAATTGATCTAGAAGCTTCAAATAAAATGCATTTTAAAGCTCATTTCTTTTTCATGGTCTTATCTTTATTGGTTATGGGGGGCACACACCCTGGCTAAGCCTATGTATCGGCATGTACAAGCATACAACCTGAAATGTACAACTATACTACCTGAAATGTACAACTATACTACCTGGAATGTACAAGTACACTTTCTGACATGTACTAGTAGACTACCAGACATATATGTACTAGTACACTACCTGACATATATGTACAAGTACACTACCTGACATGTACAACTACACTACCTGTCATGTACAACTACACTACCTGACATGTACAACTACACTACCTGACATGTACAAGTAAACTTCATGACATGAATCACTAAACTATCTGACATATACAAGTAAACTTCATGACATGAACCACTAAACTACATGACATTTGTATTTACTTACACTTATAATGTACATTATTTACAATGACTTTCTTCAAACATAATTTATTAAATTTGGGGAGGATTTAAATGTTAACCATCTATGATTCCTATTTGTATTGCACAGATCTTCAGCTCATGGGACACCCTGTGTTTCACTATAAAATGTAGGACACCGTAGTTCCAAATGAAATTCAAGAGCCTCAGTTTCTGTTTTATGGCCAATAAGGTTATTCTCACAATGGCACAATCAGAAAGGAATAAAAATGGCATCTTCATTTATTAAAGTCCATTCTGATACCCTGAATGTCAGAGCCTGGTAATTAGTAATTAGGGCTAGGATCAAACTATTGGAAAGGCTACCATTCTCATTACTGAAAATACTTTAAGATGTTAATTATAATTTAGACAGAGCAATGATTGATATAGTCAGTAAAGCTATGGCTGCATTTATTGATGTTGAAGCTGCAGTGTTCGATGTGTTTCCTCCAGTCCTTGGAGTGGGAGTGCTGGAGATTACAGTAGTGTTGGATGATTCAGTGCTAGACTCAGGAGTTGTCTCAGGAGTAGTTTCTGAAGATTCAGTCAATGCAAGACATGAAGTTGGGATATCTGAAATATATTAATATATTACTGTATAGAATATTCATTGAAATATTTGAATATTTCGAAATGTTGACCACATTAGATTAAGCTGTGTAAAATAGTATGGCAATGAACCATAATCACTGATATGAGACCTTGGGAATTATAAGAATTGCATAGACTTGACCAAATAACTGACCTGTATTGGCTTTTACATTGAACTGGAAGGTGTATGGGTATAATGCAGAAATAAAGGTTACATCTGAGCCTACAACAGGCTTGTTCTCGGACGTATATGTGAAGTAAAGCAGATCTGATGGTTTTCCAAATGTTTTGGCTGAAAGATAAACAAATATAAATAACAAAATAAACTTTATAATCAACTTTGATAAGTGCAAATACAATTAATTCTAACATAATCTTGGAGGGATAAAACTATTTCAAATTAAGTGACATAAATGCCTGGCATGCCTCATAGTTAATACACCATTATCTAATTGATAGAGTATAGCAAATGTCAATGGTTGGAGCGGGAAGTACAGTATATACCTATAGGCCCCGCCTTGCTTGCATTGTTCATGAATGCTATAACATCTCCTGCCTTTGCAATAAAACACTCATCAGTTGTAACTGGAATCTGAAATATAAATTTCTAATTTCAATTCAAATTATTTTCCATTATTATCTAAAGGATTCAAGCCCAGATTTTAAGGGCAATGGTCTTGCATCTTTGTATGAGGCTTTGAATGAGGTTGAATTTTACATTTGGGTTAATAGAAAAGCATTGATTATTTAATGCAATTTTATCACAGACTGTATTTCAGATTCTACTTTTAAGCTATCCTTCCCTTAATTCCAATTGACTTGCCTTACTACCTTCTAACTATTACCAGATTACATGTAATTTTAAAGATTTCTCAAATATGACTCTCATGGCCTTTTGGGAATTTGAATGTGAAACATTTCATTGTGACATTAATATTTGATTTCACAGTCAATATTTCATAAACTCCATAAAATAATAAACTTTACCTTGACAGTTCTTGACAATTCTTCTACAATAACAACCCTCTCTTCCAACAAGGTGTATTGTTTCCCAGAAACAGGCCTCCATATTTGGAAATGTATGACTCGGGTATCTGGATCATTAGTTAAGATATCATCCGACCCAATGGCTGCTTCTATTTCTGTGACTATGGAATCTTGTGAAAATGTCTGTGCAGATCTCAGAAAGACTTTGTTGGAACCATCTAATAATAAATCAGTTCCTTCAAGGGTAACTGGGTCAACACCTATTGTCTGGACAGCCCCTGGAATGTAGAGTTATAAAGAGCTGAGTATAGGACAAAATGTATTCACTTTTAAGAAATTGGTAACACCAGACTAATTGCATTTTAGTGAATAGGACATGTAAAGTGTGTAGTGTTGTGTTGTGTATTGTATAGAATTGTGTTGTATTGTATTGTATGCATTGGTGTGAAGTGTGGTGTGGTGTAGCACACATTTGGTAATTAGGAAGTAAACATAGAGTATTTATTGAAGAGAGATGTTGCAGATTATAGGTCTTGTAGTGTGGTGTAGTGTAGTGTAGTGTAGTGTAGTGTTACGTCGTGAAGTCTAATACATATTCAAAAAAAAATATTATAGTTAAGAGTTCAAGCAGTGAATTGTATAGTTCAACAAGTTAAACCATAGTCTCTGATCCTTTTTTCTTATCTGACATATCTTGTGGACCGTGTATGAATTGTTATGTAGTATAAATGTATGAGATGTGCATTTCTCTGTTTTTAATTGGGATTGAAGGCGCTGTCTATTTTTATGAAATCAATGTATCATGCTTTCCTACAGTTGGTGTATTGTTAGTCTATCTACAAGCCCCTCCCCCCACAAGACTTATGTATAATGACAATCAATATAATGTGATTACAAATGGATTACTTTTTAAGTAGTTATCATACATGTAGTTAAAACTATACAACTATACGGGTGTGCATTCAGTAACAAGAACAAGTATTTATAAGTAAGAGCATGTAAGCCTGACTGTGATCAATGTGCGCATCAATGTGCTTTTCCATGGTTATTAGATACAGATAGACTTAAAGTAGCAATTATACAATTAACTAACTTAAACCTCCATTTAATCTCCACATGCAATAATAGATTTACTAAACATTTTAGATTAACTTCAAAACACCAGCCATCCATTGCATTCCCCAGATCTATTTTTGTATATTTTTGGCCTGCTGGGTGTGACACTGTTTTGATTTGGATCACAGTGGATCACACATTCAGTCCAGCTTGTATACTATTCTTTATTGAGACAGTACAATATTGTACAATATTATTGATTAATAACGCAGATGCGAGTAAGTAGTTACCAGTTTCACCACCAGGTGGCTCGTTTGGGTCAGATAGCATGGCGGGTATAGTAGAATGTTCCCTTTAACTTAAATTACATCTGTTTTAGTGGTTCAATTTTCATATAACCCTTATGTATCTACTTGTTATGTGAATTAAAATATGTCCAGTAAAAGAAAATTTTATCTGTCCAATACAAGAAAAGATATTTATCTTTTTGTGATTTTGTAACATGGGGTCTATGGGGAATCAACCCGAGCTAGAAGTCACATTTTCAAAAAAATTAAATTTTCAAAGTTAATAAACAATTTTCGAAATCATATTTGTAGATGTACTTTTACATGTAGATTTCAAATATGATATCACTTTGACTGAATTTTGAATATTTAATGACGTAAATCAAGATTTTTTCTACTCGCATCTAGTCTATTGATATTGATTAATGGAAACATATGCCTACATATTGTTTATTGCCTTAGGCACACTACTCTACTTCTCATTGCTTGGATCTGTTCTAAATGAAATATATGGGTCTGTGATAATATGGGTGTCAACAAAATTTTTAGACCTTTCTCTACAAGAAGGGGTTCACTTTTTTTGGACCACCCTGTATATGATAGTTCATGATGCATTATGAGTTTTTAGGATATTCTAGAAAAGTATTTATACAGAACTTATGACTGATTTTATGTATTTTCTCCCATACTAGCAATGTTAAAATATTTGACAGTAAGTAAATCCTTAAACATGTTCTTCAGGTTGGATAATCAAATCACAAAAATATTTTTTTCTTCTTTTCACAACCTTTATTTTACTAAACGTCCTGTAAAATAAAGGTTGTGAAAAGAAGAAAAAATATTTTTGTGAGTAAGTAAAATCATTTTGTCAATTGGTGTGCCTATGCATTACTAAATTTAGAAAATATTAATGAAAGGCCCTTAACCTATGTGAGGATGGGCAGCAATTACATATATTGTACATGATATGTATATTTTTGTGTTGGTCCTAATAACCCCATCATGGGATGATGTTCAAAATGTATTTAAAATTAAAAACAAATTCTTACCTAAGGCTGATTGTAGGAGGAAGGTTGCTACTATGCTCAAAAACAAAGTGTCCATTTTTAGTGTTTTCTCCTTTCAATCTGCAATACAAGACACAATGTGATAAGCTACATCAATAGCAGGCCTGTCAACTGTCCCGCAATTTGCGTATTTGTCACGCATTTGCTGAAGAATTTGAAGTCACGCCAGTTTTTTTTGCGTGACAGAAAATGTCACGCAAAATACGCATTTTACCTGGTAATTGTCAAGCAAAAATATTTCTGTAGAAATTTTTTCGAAATATGTTTACGATACGGTAAAAATACGCACGCCGGAAAAAACCGAACGCAATTTGTTCGGATTTGTCACGCGAATCCCGTATGTGTCACGCATGTTCATTGGAAATTTTTCGTACCTACCCCCCCCCCCCCCCCCCGTTGACGACATCGCGAGCGTAGCGAGCGCGAAAAATTTGAGGTGTTCAAAGTTTGGCAAAGGTGCTCAAACTTTGGCCAAAGGTGTTTAAAAGTTGGCCAAAGGTGTTCAAAATTTGGACAAAAGTGTTCAGATTTGGACTTAGGTGTCCAACATTTTGAAGTCACTCATATTAGGTGGTCCCAAGTTGACAGCCCTGCAATAGTCGTCTATGTACTCAATAATTCATGTATTACTTGTGAATTATTGATTAGGTGGGCTTTATATTGTTACATTGGATCAGGTATCCTTGATCATTCAAGTTCCCGATTGGACAAAAGGCCTCATCTTTGGGTTGTGACATGTGTCTGTGGGGTCAAACATATCTACTAAGAAATTGATTGTATGTCTCAGAATTATTTGTTTGGTTATGAGTTCGAGTGTTATCTTATTTTGTGTTTTCATATCAAGCATTTTCATGAAAACCTTAACATGATATTAGTTATTGATTCAGTGGACTTTCATAGGGTACAGGGGTTAATCAAAAAGTTCATTCTATCAAAGGATCTAGTGCACCCTCCATTATGATCTCCCCATGAACAAAAATAAATTCATCTGATTTTTCAAAATAAATATACTGCTTTTATTATTACATTCATATGTACACTAGTATCTTGTTGACCTATATTCAGCACTGTATTGATGAATGGGCCACTTATTGGGGCCAATATTCAATCATAAAGTGTACAGGGGTAGAGATGCCAAACCAGGAAGTCTTTTTGTGTCTGTCAAAATTCCATTTGTATCCTACACATCCCTACATCTTTTCCAAATGTTATTAATTAATGAAACAGAACAGTATAATCTTTGGATTTACAAAGTTGTATGGGATTTCATTAGTGTAAAAGTTGCTTTTGAAACATTTTTCTATAGCTATTTTGTAGGAAAAAAATGATGAAAAAATCTTTTAATTTGAAGTATGACCTGAATCGATTGCAAACTTTATATTTGCACATCTGATGTGATATACCATTTGTATCATATTGTGAAATTATTTCATTTGCAATCGATTCAGGTCATAGTGTATTATAGGTATTTTTGTGAAAATCAATAGAAACCAATGGCCTCCATTGGAATCTGATGATATCCACATGTTAAGTCAATAGAACACATCCAATGTCAAGTCAATACACCATTGCTGAACTTAATGACCTCAACCTCAGCCCATGTGGGTCCAAACGCTTAAATATTTTCCAAAGTATTATGTGACATTGTATTCTTTATATTACACCTAAAAATGATTCATTTTGTTCATGGGGAATTCATAATAGAAAGTGCACTAGACCCTTTTCTTAAATGTACATAAACAATTTGAATTGACAGAATATAGAGTATATTCTATAATAATTCTATTTATGTGATATTATTTGCAAGTTGATAATAGAAAGATTCAATGAGAGTGCATCTTTTTGATAATGAATCTGCTTAGGCTAGTCCTCATTCATGGTTAAGATGAACTATAACTACCATTATGTGAATGGTACTTGTGAGACATTTTACTGGATAGATATAAATATTTAGAGAGACTTGAAAAACAAACATTATTTGTGCTGCAACATTCTCATAAACTGAAAATATACTACTGTATATACAATCTTTTTTATCAAAAATGATTTATAACACAAACCGTATTTAAGTTAAACCCAACAAGGCACATCCAAGCAACTATCCTGATTCTCTGAATTCAATTTCATTAAAAGATAAACAAACCCATTCATCTTAAGAATGTGACATTAAAACCTTCCCTATCACTATAATTTTGAATGGTAGATAACCCAAATATCTGAAATAAATGGGTACATCCTTAATGTTAAACATTCTAGGTTATGAGGTGTGTAAAATCAAAAACTCAACATCTAGATAATGTGGAAGACATAATTTTATCAAATGTTAAATACAGTATACAACGTTTCATTAATATAATTTATCTATATATTATGTACTTACATTTAACAAAATATCCTGTGTACTGTCCAGTTGTTAAAAGTTACAAAGGCTCCTATATTAAATCTTAATCTTAATCTGATTGTTTGTGTATATCCTCAAACTATTGCAATGTTGTATGGATTTAGGTAAACTGACAAACTTATAAATAGGTACAAATCCTACATGTCCTAACTGAGAAAACAAATGACGAAAATTACCAAATATGGTCCTTTATAAATGTAATTGCAATCAATGAAAACTGAGTGAGATGTGGCAGGTAAAGTATAATAACTTGTGGCCACAATGGACTGGGGTCACGGGACCTTCTTTACTCATCCTGAACATTACAGTGGAACAAAGGAGGTTCATTGATCCCATCAATACCAGGTCTCATCCCACACATGATTTGCCAAAATAGATCAGGGACCTTCTTTGGAAGACTTAAGGTATGTGGTGTATGGATTTTTTCAAAGGATACTATGAATCATTCCCATGGTGGCCCATAAAAACACGCATTTTAAACACGACTTGAGAACAATAAAGTGCATGATCAAAGATTTAGTGATTCAACTATTACTATTTCAACAATGAACATACATGTAAGTCCCATGCTCAATTAATTAACAATGGGGAAGAATGAATGCAAATACAGAAATGGGACATCATCAGAAATCGTGGCCTCATTAGTTCCATTGTAGATGGAGATGAAAATGTAGATTGTAGATTGTAAACAAAAAGATGTGTTAGGTATTTTGTTTCTTTCAGAGCTTCAACTGTCCAAATTACCATGATCGGCTGACACTTAGACGCTAATATACAGGGTGACCCAAAAAACACAGAACCCTCCAAAAATGAAATAATTTCTTTAATATAATCAGCTTCATTTTTCATGCACAGAAACTACAATCTATGGATGACAATGTGAGACCAAATTTGTTACATAACATTCAATATCCTTCTTGTTATGGCTATTTTGAAAATGTGCCCACTTTTGAAATAAAATAAAATAAAAGAGTTTTATGTCAACCAAAAGGTTACAAATCGTTTGTTTAAACCCATCACATTCTTTTAGCTTCTTTTTAAGCTGCATTTTGTGAGTATAGAGGGTAAGATCATTAATGAGGAAGTCTTCCAGCAACCTTTAAGTCATCTCTAGGTGTTGCACCTTCTGAGCGATATTTTGGAACTAATGCAATCACACACAATGCTTTCAGGTGTTCTCATAACCCCATTCTTAGAAACCTCCCTAGATAGGTGTAAGCTGATCATTTTTCCATTCAGGTGTTTAACAGTTCTCTTTCTTCCTCTTCCAACATATTATATAGCATTTGACTTTGAAATCTTATGTCATGCGATGCTTTTGACTGATCATTCTGCTCTCTTAATGATTTCTGGAGAATTCAACCAATGGATGAGCGTTTGAGGTGTTCTTGCTCACAGAGGCCAGGAATTTCAGTCATTTGATCTTTTACTAGGTGTTTTACCATTTCCTATTCTTCATTTTTCAATACAAATATTAATTGAGACTTTCATTTCATGTCTTCTTTGGAATTTCCTTCTGAATTTCTCATAAAGTCTCAAGAAATGATTTTGTCTCCATGTTGATTTTCCGAAAATTGGACACATTCTAAGATCATCCACGGTATCACAAATAATCAATTTTGTGTTACAAACTTGATATCAAATTAAGAAATTATTACATTTTTAGAGGGCTAACAAGGAATGTGTTCTACCAAGGAAAGAAGAGGATAATACATGCAAATTAAACATTTGTTAACTACCTTTGAGATGTGGAATCCTTGTGGGGTGGAATCACACTATTGCAAATGGTAAATGTGTAGACACCATGCGGATTTATCAGAAAATGGGCCTGAGTTTTTCAATTTTTCCAGACTCAAAATTCGGGCCCGTCCCTTGTTCATTTCTGGATCCGCCACTGTATTCTATTAACTAAAGGCTCTCTTTTAAAGAAACGAAATGAAATAAAATAATGTGTGTTATACCGTATATATTGGGTGTGCCTGGTGAGGTATTGTATTACAATTGCATATTTCTCACAAGATTACCACCTATTGCATTACTCAATCAGGACTTTGTGGACCAAAGTTGCATTACCTAATAACATAATGTGACAATGATTGCAATTAACGTTTATTAATCACACATTCGTGTATACCAGCAAGCACGTTATACGCACAGTCTAGTATTTACAGAGAGAGATCCTATTCTGATTTATCAGATTCTCACGTTAACGCTTTGTTGGCCAGTATTCCAAAGGATGACACTTGCTGTGGGTCCCAATGAAGAGATCCGACTATTTTAAGGTTGACTTTATTCCTCGGCCATTTCTAGATCATGTGGCCGGCCCCATATATGTGTATCATAATAAAGCTTACTGAATTTTAGACTTATTGGTAAAATATTTGCATAACTGATCATTAGGCACATATTTTGTGAACTTATGTTTGGTAGTCACCTAAATCCCCATAACATAACGAGTGAGATACGTTATTCCATTTACCATAGGCTTTCAAGAGACCTTAATTGTTCGTACATGTAGGGCATTCTAAGAAATCCCATGAATATAATTTAAAAGGTGACAATAAATGAAAAAGCATTGAACACATGACTGACTGGTTGAATATTACATGAACAATCATGTCTGAAATGCTTCAGTGTGTTTGTTAATTCTCATAAACTCATTTAGTCCGATCTTGAGGTTAAACATTCACAATCAATAGCAGTAGTATTATCCGTAGGAATGAGGCCCGGGAAAGTCAGGCAAATGGGAAAGTCAGGCAAATGGGACCAATCTGAAGCAATCAGGGCCAATCTGAGCCAATCAGGGGCAATCTGGGACATTCTGGGACAATCTGACGCAATCATGGGCACTCAGGGACAATCAGGGAGCGATACGGGAGCCGGCGACCAATAGGCTGGCTCGAACCGATAACGTTTACTTCATTTAAAGATAACAAATTCCACCATCTGAAGATAACAAATTCCACCATCTGAAGATAACAAATTCCACCATCTGAAGATAACAAATTCCACCATCTGAAGATAACAAATTTCACCATTTATGATTTTTTCAACATTTTAAAGATAAGGTGATATACTATATAATGGCTGAGTTTTAGACAGGTCTGCCTAATCACGTCATCTGCAGCAGAAAAAAATAGGTAAGTTGAACTTTTTAAAAAAACAACTTAAGGTGCTATTCTAGGCCCGCATTAAGGGATATGAAAATTGGATGGGAAGCTGAGGAGCTAAGACATCCGCCCTACTGAGCTATGTAGAGCCATTGATGAATACGACTGTTAACCACCCGCTTATATACTGATTAGGAGCTACTT